ACCAAGAACTTACCAAGGCCACCGGCCGAATGATCAGACCAGGCGCCAAGCCAACTGATCAAATCTACAAAACTAATTCGACCTGTCCCAACATCATAGCAGGCGTCCGACGGCATCCCTCCGGATGAAATTCGTCGCAGAGAGCAGCTCCCTTTTGGGTGGAACATTGTTCTATAAACTAATTACACGGCACCTATACGACTGTCCCCAAGGGCAACCACGTAGCCGTTTTTGAGACAAGGATAACTCTATCACTAACCAAACCAGTGGTAGCAGTTGACATCTGAGTCAGATGACCGCCTGTATTACTTGGGATAAATGCAGGGGGTACCTATTGAGTTAATAGCCAACAAACATTGGCGAATCAAGGGGTCTAGTCGGCCTACGCCGCCTGGTACCTCTACTTCTCAAAACAAAAGTGACGGCGATTGAGTAACTCCAAAGTTAACTCATAGTCACTCCTTCAAATTTGGTATGGAATCTAAAAAGTTTGAGTCGTCCGCCTGTTTTAAACAAACAAGGGCACTCGAACCCCTATTCCTACTAGATAACATATTGAGTTAATAGCCAACAAACATTGGTGAATCAAGGGGTCTAGCCGGCCTACGCCGCCTGGTACCTCTACTACTCAATCTAGATTGTGACGAAGACTAAGTAACTCCTATGTTAACTTAATAGTCACTCAAACTTAGTATGGAGCCTAAAAGGTATGAGTCGTCCACTTGTTTTTAATAAACAAAGGCTCTCAACCAATACTCTTGCTAGGTTAACAAATTACGAGTTAAAAGCTAACATTAGCAATAAAGGGAAACAACCGGTACCCGCCGCTTGTTTTCCTACTTAATTCCTTGGCGACTAGGTAATTCTATTTACTTGGTCAGACAAATTGAATAAAGAGTTCGAATACCGATTGAATAAATGGCCGACTGATCATCTATCCTGGAAACAGACAACCAGTCGTCCAGGGGCATAGGCGGCATACTTACTATTTGTACCTGTCTTAACGTTCGGCCATACACAACAGTCGGTCTAGTGAACAAATTAAAAATACTTAGACAAATTTGAACCAAAACAAAAATTTGATTAAAAATGAGCCGGCCATTAAAGACCAGCAGAATATTCAAAACCCCGGCCCCCTGGCCGGGTAATTACAAAGCAAACGGCACGCAGGCCGTGAAAAGAAAAAAATACTTAAAGCTTAAGAAGGGGGCAGTTCAGTATCAGCAGCTGCCGCCTGGTCAGCACTCTTCTTGCTGGACTCGGCCTTAGCTGCACCCTCTTTTGATGCCTTACCCCCGAGTGGCACAAGCGCCACAACCGGCTCTTCCTCCTCCAACGCACCGTCCAACGCCTCTTCTTCAGCAGCCGCCAGGATCTGTTGATTATATATTTCCGAACACTGGCGGTACGTTCTTTCCCATGAGGCAAAGTCGGCACTGGGGAACAGTCGTTCCCAGGTCATGCGCTGGATTTGAGCGGAGTCTTCCACCATCTCCCGGACGAGCTCTTGTTTCTCTTGCTCGGCCTTATCCGAGAGCTCTTGGGTAAGACTCTTCTCTTGGTTCACCAGGCGTTCTTTTACGTTGGCCAAAGATTTCTCCATGGCTTCGTAAGAGTGCATTTTTTGGCGAAGAGGTTTCAGCTCGGCCTTAAGGTTGGTGACGGTCGCCTCCAGCTCGTCAACCTTCTTTTGGGCCGCCTCTAACTGAGCCCGAACAGCGGCGGTAGCCTGCGCCTGATAATAAAGAAGATCAATGGTCAGTACTTCATTTTGGGCAATTTGAAACATTGCCTTATCACAGCTGGAGGCGGCCATAGCCTTTGCGGCCTTTACCTCTTTGTTTTTTCCGATCAATCGGCTTGCGAAGGCTGTTGACTCGGAGCAGGGCCTAAGTACAAAGAAAAACAGGCGTCAGTTTCCCAATAAAAAGTTAACAGGCGTCCTGGAACTCAAAAGCTCAAAAATATACTAAGTATACCTCAGCAAGGACCCCTGAAATTCCATCAAGGTCAAGGGTGCCGGCACCCCTGACCGCCTCCCTGTCAGATGGAGGAACTACTTTAACCATAGACTTGGCTACCTCAACCAAGTCAAGTCCCTGGGGGCCGGCTGCATTAAGCGAAAGGAAAAAACAAGTTAGACCTAGTCAAGAAGGAAGCAAGGGTGAGTTTTTACAAGTGAGGGTCCATACATCTAGACGGCCCCGCCTGGGTTTTTGAAGAAGTGGTCGGCTGCTTCTCAGCCGCCACTGTTTTCCTGGAAGACCCAGGAGAGCTTGCAACAGTCGTCCTCCGGGCCTTGGGGTCCGGCTGTTGCGAAGAGGAAGCCCTTGGAGTGCCAGACTGAAAACAAAAAGAGTTAGTATATGCATAAGACAACTAAAAGAGGAAGAGTTTTCGAAGTTTACCAAGGGTGCCTCTTTGTTGGGGGAGTCGGCATACGACTGCTTCATGAGCGAGGCCCGCAACATGGCCGCCGCAGTCTTAGATGCTGATATTTTACTCATGGCGTCAGCTGCAAGAAATAAACAACAAAGTTAGTAAAAATCCCAAGTAAACAAGGTGTGAAAAAACAGAGTATTTGTCAGGCCGGCTACCTCTAGAGCACCGACTGCCGAGGCCACAGGCGGCCAAAAAGTACTCGTCATAGAGCCACTTGAAGCTCGGGACGCAGTTTAGGGGTACTTGCTCTCGTACCCCTGAAGTAGAGTTCACCCTAGTCTCTACTTTGAAGAGTCCTTTGTCTAGGATCTCTTTTTTAGCCTTTGGGGAACAGGCGGCATGCTGCGGCCGCCTGCGAGAAGAGGCGGATCCCTATTCCACTTGTTAAAGCGTTTGTTCAGCTCCGTGTCTGAACCCTCGATAATAAGGAAGGTGTTCCGCCAATCCTTCCATTTGTTCGCCTTACCTCTCGTCATGAGGTAGCCCCTATGGCTTGTTAATTGATACCAGCCGGTACCTCCCGACTTAGGGGTCCGGCTGAGATAGTTCATGTGGGCGAAAGCCTCAAAGCTTGGCTCCACCCCGTTCATTTCGCACCCGGCCACATAGCCGAGTACGTTTACCCAAGAGTTGGGGGCTAATTGCCATAACCCCAGATCATACCCATCTAAAATCCGCTGAACAGCCGGATGTAATGGGAAGCGCAGTCCAGCTTTGATGGCCGCCACATAGCAGCCAAAGCAGCCGTCACCATAGCTGGTACCAGCCGGCCAGACGACAGTGTCTTCTGGATCCGGCACGAACAGTAAAAATTCCGGGCCCATTTTGTGGTAAGCAATAAAGCTCGCCACGTTGTCTTGCATGGTTGCGATCCGGCCCCGGGGTACCCTGCAGTAGTAGGGGGCGTTTTCCTCTCTGTAAGAGGCGGACGGCTCCGCCCAATTGTCCCCCTTCTCAACTGCATGAGAACGTCTCGCCTCTTGTAGGCGGCTATGTTTTTCTTCTGAGCCAGGAGAACTGTGGCCAGAAGAGCTGGACTCGGACTCGTCCTCTGACGAGTCCGAAGAGGACGACTCCTCCCCTCTCCTAGAGGGGCCCGCCTCCTCTCCCTTAGAAGGAGCAGGAGGGAAATTAGACATGTCAACGGTAAGATGGGAAGGGACCACCTTGGCCCCTCTCTCAGAACTGTCGGCTTGACAGTCGCCTCGTTTCAATTCTACATCTGGCGCCTGGTCAGATGTTTCACTAAGGAGCACCCTTTGGGAGGAGCCGTCTGAGTTTGATATCATAGCAGTCTGTTTCGTTCTGGCCATCACGTTCTGCATAGACACAGATACAGTCGGACTTTGTATAAAGGGCAAAGATGGGTCCAGAAAAGGGCAGGCGGCACTCCTAGTCCTAGATTCAGCCGTCCCCGGTGACCGGCTGATCACTAACTTAGGTCGTGTCGTGTGCTTCCATGGTGCCATTTCAAAAAAATAAAAAGAAAATTAAGAGTAAGAGAACTGAGTTACCTGAACGAGTGTCGGTTGATGAAGTCCTGGAAGTTCGGGTCAGTCGGCTTGTCAGAACAGGCGGTAGGCAGAAAAAGTCCGAAATGTCAGAGCAAGTTCAAGGGTCCGGATGTTCTCACAAAGTTCTCAAATGTGAAAATGACCGAAAGTCAGCACTTCCTTATATAGGCAAGGTGAGAAGGCGAAAGGTCGCTTCCAAATTCAAAATTTGGGCGGGAAAATCTCTCGGCCGTTTGCAAGGTGACACCTGTAACAGGCCGTCGCCTGTCACCGTGCGACACCTGTCACAGCAACACGTGACCAGTCACGTGCCACCTGTGAGGGGCAAATGATTAGGGGATTTTTATCCACCAATCACCGTCTGACAAGTGGACCAACCAGGTTCCGCCACGTGTCCTTCACGAAGGACAACAGGAGCCTGCCACGTGTCAATCACAGATACGTCCTCTACGGACCACTTTAGACACGCCACGTGTCCACCCATGCCAAATGGGAAAACCGGCCACCAAGGCCCAATCCAGTCTAGAGGCCCGATCAGCCCTAGGTTTACCCTAAACCTAAAGAAGTGGCACGCTTCTCAAGGCTATAAATACTTAATTAATCCTCATTAATCACACGATCGAATAATCAAGAAATCAAGCGGAGAAGAACAGAGTTATTAACAACCGGCTAATCTCGCTAACGACGCAGATTACCAACACTAAGCACTCTCACCTAGAGAGATCTCATTACTTTAATTTCTGTATTAATTACTCCTTAATCAGGTACTAACTTGACCGTTGGAGGCGGAGCTCTCAGGAGTCTCCGTTATTTTGCAGGTACAGGCGTCCGGTTCCAGTCTCGGAATTGTAACTCTCCCGCAGGACATCAGAAAACCCCGAAACAATTATTATTCACTTTTTTAAAAAAGAATTAATTATTAGAAATTATTAATTAATAATATTATTAAATATTTATTCTTAATAGTTTGAATTATTAAATATTATTATTGATAATTATTATTATGATTAATAAATATTAATTATTAGGAAAATTTAACGGGAATAATCCAACCTTTACCTCTTTCTCCTAAAATAATCCAACCTTTCGATTAACCCTCAATAATCCTAAGTTTACTACTTATTTTCTTACACCGAGCTTTTTTGACCGGCTACCTGAACTTCAGGTAACTTTTTTTAATTTTTATTTTATTTTTTATTTTCCTTAATTTTCCCCACCTTCTTCCTTCTCTCCTACACTACAAGAAAAAGATAAATTAGCAACAGAAATTTACGACTACCCTATTATTCGGTCGCAAAAAATATTTTTGCTACTGAAAAAGACGGTCAGTCACAAATTTTGCAACTAATTTTGCACCAGTTGCTACGCAGTCGCTAATTTGCGACTGAATTTTGCGACTACTATAGTAATCAGTCGCAAAAAATATATTTGCGACTGTTAGAGACGAGTAGTCACAAATTTTGCGACTCATTTTGCAGTAGTTGCAATGTTGTCGCTAAATTGCAACATTCTAATAATATTTGCGACTATAAATTATAGTCGTTGGGGATAATGATTTTCTAACTTTTTAATTTAAAATTTGCGACTAATGTTGCAACTAAATCCTTAGTCATTACCATTATTTTATAAATTTAATAAAAAAGAAATAAAAACAAAACCCTTAATATGATGAGGAGTTGCCAACAAAACAAAAAAAGAACTAACTTAATCACTTACTATCTTACTCGTCCAAAAAAAAACAAAAAAAAAAAAAAAACTCAATCACTTAAAAGCCTTAAGTAATTTTTTCATCAATGGTTCTATAAAGTACAAAAACTCTTCCTTCTAAAAAAAAGCATGCAGAAGGAAATTTTCAGAGATTAAAGAATTCAACCCTCACCGTCGCTCTTCATCTGCCTTCGCTGCGCCACCATGTCTCCTCCAAGGTAAGTTCAAACGCTTGACGTCCCTTCTATCTTTCGTTTATTGTAATTCACCAACTACGATTTTTAGGGTTATCATTGAAATTTTTGTCCAATTATTGATTTTAATTTGGTTTCCATGGTGTAATTTAAGTAAATTAGTGAAAAATCATTCGAAATTGATTAAGTTTGCTAAAATCCTTAATTATTTTCAATGTAAAAATCCCAATTCTAGTTATTTCGAACCCTATATTTTCTGAAGAAGGGGGTTTCGTTGCTTAGAGTGTAATTCTAATTGGGTAATTAATGGATGGAGTGTATTGAGGTTCGTCCGAACTCCATTGAATTCTTGTTTTGCACTTAATTCTTGTTTTGCTTTGAATTCTTGTTATGCTCTGACTTTATTTGTGCAATTTGATTGTATCTGCTGGTATTAGACATTATTTATGTGTTCATGTAATGAACTAGACTATTACTCACCAGAAAATTAGACAACACACAATAAAGATGCAAATTTTAAAGAAATAAGAAATTGAGGAAAAGGGATGGGTTTCATTTTAGCAAAAACGACTACTACAAGGGTGACTTTTAAGTCACAAATCTTAGGGTTACTGAATTACACAAGAAATTCACTACCAATCCCATTGCTCCTTCTCCCCTTTTTATATGTACAATGCTCACAAATGATCCCAACTACACCCCTGTCCTATGTGTGATAATTTGGTGGGTTGCTGTCACTTACTTGGTGGGTTGTTGTCATGGTGTGATGTGATGTGCTACTGCTGCTTTGTTCATTCTTCCCCTCCTTGTATATGTGATCAGTCTACGTGGCATGCCAGCTCCTTGGTTCTTTGCAGTTCAGCAGATTTTTGGTTTAAAATTTTGGAATAAATCAAGTGTTTGGCATTATGCTCTATTATTAGACATTAGTTATAGGGTCTATGAATTATCCTTTATTTTGTAATTAATTGCTACTACTTTCACTCTATTTCTCACAACTAAAGCAAGAGAAAAGTAAATCAGAAAGAACAGTAAAGAAAATAGGGGATGTTGGGCTGCTTTTTGTAAATTAAATTAGAAAGAACATTATAGAATACAATTAGTCAATTACCACATAATACCTAACAAAGCCAATCCCCATTCCTTTTTATATGTCCCCTTTTTATGTTTTTTTTTTTTGTAGTGCTAACAACTTCTTCTGATATGAGAGCGCTCATTCTGTTGATGTGGGCAATAATGAAATTGAATTGTGGGTGACAAGACTCATCAAGTCATGGTATGAGTATACTTATATATTTTTCTAAGATTACAAAAAAAAATACTACCTCCGTTACATATTATTTGCAACGATTAGACATTTTTCCTCTCTACTTTATGTCAAATCGTTGCAAATAATATGTAACGGAGGTAGTATATGGTAGTTAATGTTTTTAGATTTTATAGATTATTTATTTTTTTGTGTGATTGAGTTGGAGGATGAGGGCATTAATCAAATGATTAACGTGGTATGGCATAATGTGAATTGAAACAGGTTTTGAAGTCATACCCTATTGAAGGGATTTGTTTGATTTACAAAGGAGAATCTGCCAAAAAAATTTCTAATAATTGTTTACAATAATTATTTTATTATAAGTGTTGTTATTTTTTTTAGTCTTTTAAGTTTTAACAATTGAGACCATAGTTACAAATACATATCTTAATGCAGGGACAATATATGGATAAACTTGAGGAATATAAAAAGGAGTTGAGATAAACCCCGACAAAGTCTAATTGGAGGTTGTAGGTGGGAAAAAGAATAGAAAAGTTTATGGTTTAGGGAGTGCTTCACAAATTTACTACAAGAACGATCCTACTTCTCACCTTACTTCATAATGTATATCATCATTAGTTCTTATTTGTCATGTTAGAGGTGATTTTTGAAACAATTAGTCTTATGGTTACTAATATTGTTTTTTAATACATTGATACAAAATTGATGATGATATTTTGGATATTTGAATAAAATTAACATTTTGGTTATTTGAATATATGTGTAGGTACTTTTTTTTTTATTGATATTTGGTCGTCACTAAATTAAGGTCTCCAAATATTAATAGCCCGTCGCAAAAATATTGCGACGGTAGATTTCTTATGGAGATTAATTGGTATGTTGCAATAATTGGACTCGGTAGTCGCTAGTTTGTTGCAAAAAACTAGTTTTTATAGTCGCAAAATTTTGGTCTCGTGGCAGCTAATCCGTCGCGAAACAAATTAGTCTCAACCGTCGCAATATTTTGGCCTCTAGTTGCAAATCCATCGCAAAGAAATTAGTCTCTGTAGTCGCAAAAGTTTTGTCTTGTAGTCGCAAAATTTGGTCTTGTAATTGCTAGTCCGTCGCAAAAAGAGTTTTAAAACATTAGTTTCCGTAGTCGCTAATCCGTCGCTAATATTTTACGACGGACAATGATTTAGTTGCTAAAATTTGAAAGTTAGTCGCTAAATGATAGTTGCAAAGTCGTTGCAAATCCGTTGCAAATTTTCTACTGTTCAAAAATTAGTTGCAAAAATGGATTTGCGACGAGGTCTTTGCCAACTAACCAAAGTAGTTGCTAATCCGTCGCAAATCCATTTTTGCGACGAATTTGCGACTATTTTGGCGGTCGCTAATACCCCTTTTTCTTGTAGTGCTATTCAACACCGTTTCAAGCTTCTTGCCATGAACAATGGCTCCTTCACCTCTCTCAACCTTGCCGCCACTGTGAACCACCTCACCCATTTTCCCATCTGCCCCACTAGCCCCTCCTTTCCCTGTCAACCAACCCTCCACTTGCCACCACCTCGCAATTAGCCTGCAATTTAGCCGCCACCATTTACCCCACCCAAACCCAAACCCACTCCGACCAAGACTCACAACCACCAATCCCACCTCGCTGAAACAACCCATACCCGAATTCACCAACCCACCCTAACCCATACACCCAAAATCCCAATTCTACCAACCTAGAACACAAAACCCTAACTCCCACCAATTTCCTTCTCTTTTCTCCCTCTCAATTGAATTTTGGGCTGAATTGGGGTGGTCGTACGTCGTTGGTGTTGCGGTTGTTGTGGGTGTTGTTTTCGGTTGTGTTATGAGTGGTTGTTGATATTGTGGGTTGGTCATGAATGTTGTGATGAGTGGTGATGTCGGTGGTGTTTGTGGTGGTTATAGGCGGTGGTGTTTGCAGTGGCCCCATGGGTGTGTTGAGTGGTGTTGGTGCGTGGGTGATAATGGAGGAAGAAGGAGGAGAGAGATACAAACAAGAAGGGGAAGGAGATAGAATTTTTTTTTTTTTTAATTTTTAGATTTTTCTTTAAAAAAATTAAAAAATAAAACTTTGACTAATCGGAAATTGCCACGTGGATGGTAACCGGTTGTAAAGGGTAAGGTGACCTGTTGGGGTTGCTAGGAGAAAATATATAGTAAACTTAGGATTATTCAAGGTTAACCGAAAGGTTGGATTATTTTGGGTGAATGTGTGAAAGGTTGGATTATTCTTGTGAAATTTTCCTAATTATTATTAATATTAAAATTATTAAAATTATTTTTAGTATAAATAATTATTAAAATTATTTTTAGTATAAATAATTATTAAAATTATTTTTAGTATTAATAATTATTATAATTATTCAAAATAATAAATTATTATCATCAATACAATATTAATTATTATTATTGAATATTAACTATTATTATTAATTATTATTTGAAAATAGAGAAAAACATATTTTTTTGAGCAGAGCAGATTTAATTTGAGCAGAATAAAGCAGCTCTAAGAGCACTCACATTAGTGAGCAAATTTTTTTTTGCTCATTCTCTCTCTAGCTACTTTCTCTCTCTTCCCAACCAATTTGCTCATGAGCATTTTTGGTGAGGAAATTTTATCCCACTAGTGATCAAAAAATAATTAAATTGCTCATGAGCATTTTTCATTTTCCTAATTGATGTAGTACCATTTCTACCAAATATACTCACCATTTTTGCTCATGAGCAAAAAAAATGCTCATTGATGTGAATGCTCTAAAGAACGTGGCCTAAGTCCCTAGCTACAAATCAATTAAATTAAAGTTGCTCTTAATAAGTCAAGTCTAATGTGAATCTTATCTTTGACCATATAATTACTCTCCATCTGGTCCCGCGTGTGCCCTTTCCCTCCTCCCTCCTGCTTGTGTGGCGTCCATCGTCCTCCATATATCCAGCCAAATTAGATACCACATTCTCCATTTTTTTTAATTTTATTTTAATATTTTCTTTCTTAAACTTCATGTCTAAATTCTTTCTTCTTCTCAATTTTCTCTCTCCATTCTCCAATGGCGGAAACTTCTGCACTTGGTTCTTCATTACTAACCATTTCTCGAAGCTTCCGTCAATTCTCTCCTTCCCTCTCTTCTAACATTCATCATCAACCTTTCTCCTTCTTTATTCCACCTCTTATTTCCTCTCGATTTTTCCGATTGACAGCTAAAGCTTCTTCTGATGATCCTTTCGACTTTGATTATGGATCGTATCCGTGGGACCCTCAATCCATTGATTCTAATTCTGGTAAATCGGTTATTTACTGTTCATTTGCCTCATTTTTTTGAAGTTTATTAATAATCATATGATTCAATTTATTTCTGCTTTTGATTATCCGAATTCAGGGAATTAAATGGCATTCCTTTGATTCTACAACTTTGATGGTATTTGATTTTTAAACATAAGTTAGACATTTGTTTGAATGTGGATTAATGATATTTGGGTGTCTGCAATATCAGGGTTCTAAGTTTTATTGCTATGATTTTGCTAGAGTTTCGAGTTACTTTAGTGTTTAAGCTAGTTGGCAGATGTTATGTACTTAAAATTTTTGAGTGTATACTGCAAAGGGTAGGTTCAATGTAAGGATGTAATTTTCGGCTTTCTAGGCTTGGTTATCTTTATCTGGCTTTAGCAAAAGCTTGATCTTTCTATTGAGTTTTAGAATTTGTTTAAGTTGGCAAGTTGGAAATTTAAGTTTAAAGGTGGAGCTTGAAGCTCGCTTGTCTATGCATTAACTACTTGAACTCATATGAGGTTACCTTGCAACTTAAAAAACTTGCTTTATTTGATGTGTTAGCATGTAAATTCACAAACAATGGGATTTCAAAAAGAATAACCTAAAGTTCTCGATGTTTTTGTGCTTCCTAGCATTCCAAACTATGCGTCAGATATGTCCAAGGGGTACAATGGACATGAATTAGATTAAACAGCACTCCAACGGTTATAGTTGGAATTTTGCTTGCAATTATTACAAGTTAGCTACTAGCTTAACCATTGGAGTTAAAAACGAAAATTAGCTTGGGCAAGCTAATTTGCTTGACAAAAGGATGGAGAATGCTAGCCAACTATTTATTGACACATGGAAAATAATTCAATAGCAAGCTAGTAGCTTGGGGTACAAATCAAATAAAGAGTTAATTAGCTATAAATGTTATGTGGCAAGGCAAGCTAATTGGACAATTAGCTTGCCATAAGAGATGCTCTTCTTAAAGTTGTGATGGGTTTTAGGCTTTGCTATAAAATATATTAGAGGAATTAACTTGGACAATTTTAAAAGTTGTGGCATGTTTGAATGGTTTTTTAGACGAACTTAGTCAAATGTGTATGAGTTTGTGAAGTCAAATGAATGATCAGTGGGCTGGTTAAGATATACTCCCTCCGTCCCCGGTTGATAGTCACTTTTGAAGAAAAATCACGGGAATTAAGGAGAATTAAAGAAAGTACATTGAAAAAGTAAATTTACATTGGGTATGCAAAAAAGTAGAGGGAGAAAGTAATTAAAGTAAATGGGAAAGTAAAATTTACATTGGAAAGTTAAATTTGCACAAATATTTTTGCAATTGTTAGAGAATTTTGGTAAAAAAAATAATATTAATGGTACTTGAAAAACGCAAATGTGACTAACATTTTGGGTGCCCAAAAATGGCATAAGTGACTATCAATCGGGGACGGAAGGAGTAGATCATTGGATAAACAATCTATAAAAGCGGTACAAGTTGGGTCATTTGTTGGAAAGTTGAACATCAATGATCGTTGGATGAGGTCTAGTACATTGGTAAGGAAAATATTTTTGTTTGTTTTTTGGTGCAAAGGCATAAATATACAGTTAGTCGTCTTACAACTTTTTTGGTAATTTCGGTAATGGAATTGAAAGGAATAGAAGGGAAGGGAAAAGATGAATACGAGACGTAGAGTAATTATATCGTCTAGTGTTTGGTGTTATGGAGCCATTGAAAAGAATCCAATGTGTTGTTAGTTAGTCAATGATAGAAAAGACAGCGAAAAAATTGGCAACCTTTTAAATTCTACTCTATTTATTTCTTTTCCCTACTAAAATTCCTTTATGATTATTACTACCAAACATTAGAAACCCATGTAAGTCCTTTTCATTCTTTTTCATTTATAAATCCTCTATATAGTGCCTAGCAATATAAATTGAAGTTCTCTTGCGTTGCACTTTCATAGCAAACTGGACTAAAGTACAATTGATCATTACATATCAAGTCTCAAAGTCCGATTATGAGAGGCTTCTCATAGACATTGTGTCCTCACCTCTTTTGTACTTGCCTTACTTTTCATAAAAATATGAAATACGTAGTTATCTTGTGGAGTGACTGAATGTTACAATGATTGTAATGTTCATAAGCCATGACACTGGATGGCTTTTTCCACTTTGGATTATAGATGTATGTTTATGTTTCCCAACTTATACTTCCTCTGTGTCTCAATACATGCAACAAGTTGACATCTAATTGAGTTTGTAATAAATTCAACCTGGTGAATGTATTAAGAAACAGAGGATGTATTATGTTGTAATAATGTTGTAATAAATTTGTAATGATTTAGGTAAAGTTAGATAATAATTTGGTAGGGACTTTAGGCTAAGTTAGATGTCAATCTACTTACATTGTTAAAGTTTTCCTCTTGATAGGAAATTAGATGAGCTTCCTTCATTGTTAGAAGTTTGGATTATCAATTAGCTACCAGCCTACCATGGTGATATCTAGAGTGTGCTGGCGCAAAACAAAGTTGAAGAGTGCATCATCTATAAAAATACTAATATCTCTAATTTTTTCTTACTTTTTTCTTTCTTTGTGTAAGTGCCCTAGTGAAATTTTGCTGGTGGACAAGCATTTACATGGACATTGACATGAGACTTCCCTCACAAAATTGCACTATAAATCCATAAACATTACCTTGATTTTTACTCTCTACGAAACTGGATGTAAAGGCCTTTATATATATACACATATATATTTGTCAGCATTTAAGTCAGAACCTCAACCACCACCTCTCTCCTCTGACGTATTACTGTCATCAGTCTCATGGCCATCGTTACCACTTCTTCCAATTGCTCCAAAAAAAAAAAAAAAAAAAAAAAAAAGTAGAAGAAGATGAATGCAGCTACCACCAAGGGCTCCAAGGCTTTGGCTTTGAGGACATCAGTGTTGAATTTGACACCAAATGTTCAAAATCCCCAAGTTTTGGACTTTTGGTCTTAGTCAGAAATACTCATTATTTTTTGTGTCTATTTCTTAAATTATGGTGGATGGTTTTGGAGAATTATGAATATTGATATTAGCTTTTTGTCAACAGTTTGCAGTGGTTTTACATGATTATGGATCAGGTGATGATGGTTTGTTTATATGATTCTGGGATGATAAACCAGTCGAGGTTGGCAGGAATGGTGACAGCATTAATGTAAGTGGTGAGGAAGCTAAATTAAAAATAAAAAAAATCAAAGAAGAAAAAAGAGGGAGAGGCCAAGAATACCTTCAAGATTACATTAAAAAAAATTATAATAAATGAACATTATCTAAGTAGATGTTGGCATGTTTTACTAGAAATGGAGAGGATGGAGAGGGTTTGGCTGGGTTTGTGGCTTGGTAGTGGGAACTGGGAAGGGATTGGGGTGGGGTGGGGTGGGGAGGGGATGGGAAGGGGAGAGGTGATTTAACTGGTGGTTATTTAAAAAAAGGCTTAATTTAAGAAGGTAGACCAAATAGTTTGAAATATAAAGTTACTCAATATTGTAATTAGTTTGAAAATACCGCTTATAGTTGGGATCGTTCTTTTTTAGCTACATGTCAGAGACGACAACTATGTTAATATAATTGTGTTTATTGAATGTGAAAATGTTTATTATAATTTTGTTTATTGAACGTGAAAATGTTTATTCTTCATTTCATCTTCTTTATCAAGTAAATTGTGGTCTCAGATATCAAAATCAGAATGTTGTGACAGATGTAAACAATTTTTTGTTTTTTTCATACTAGTCAAGCAGGAGAAATGGTGTTCTATAGCTTTTTTTTAATTAAAATCTCAGAATAGGAGCCCTTCAAACAGAGCTGTTATATAAGATGAATTTTTGAGGTTTATGCTGTAGCCTGTTGATGGGGAAATGATGGTGTATCATCTTTCATACTACAGATGAACTGATTTATAGTTCAGAACAATTACCCTTATTTACTTTGGGGGGGGGG